CAAAATTTCCTTCAGATTTCGAAAACCGACATTTGGACTTTTGCACCTGAATCTGAAAGCTAACGGGTTGCACATTTCTGACTTGTTTTCCAAACGCACCGAGGAGGAAAATTCACTCTGAACGCAGCACACACACACACACACACACACACACACACACACACACACACACACACACACACCACAGGATCCCCGCTTTTCGCCGATGTTTGACGCCTTCACGGACTTGGATCAGAAGCGACGGAAAAGGCTCCAAAACTTGCGTGAGTTGCGCCGGCGATCGGCTCCTTCCCTCATCAAAGCAAGTCCTGGCGACGGCCCAGCTGAGGCGTCGCTTCGGGTCGAGAGCGCCGCTGACCGCCACTGACCTCCGCCGATTGTTATCTGCCTTCGCTCTAACTTTGTAGATCGCGCTTTAATTTTGAGGCGCTCTGCACAGGGACAGTGATGAATAGGCTGCATCAAGGAGGGCTTAAATTACCCTGACTCCCTGGTGGCTGCACTGACCGCAACAGCGATAGTCTGTGTGTGTGTGTGTGTGTGTGTGTGTGGTGACCTAGTAGTAGCAGACAGAGAGAGAAACGGAGCTGGTCAGCACTTGGCCTGCCGACCTCGCCCGCACCGCAGCCCATCCGGCGGGAGGCAGTGAGGACGCCGCTTCCATGTCGTCTTCTTCGGCTTCTTTGCCCAATTCTTGTTTTCTCTTTTTTTTTTTCCTTTCTTCCAGGATAGTACTTCCTACAACTTTACTTTTTTACATGTCAAAATAGTAGCACTTAAATATTTACCGCCACCAGACCGGGGCGAGTTGCAATTTAGCACACAACAATACGTGAAAGACGCACCCCCCATAAAAGCTACTTCAAGTTTATCTCAAAACATTTCAATACATACCAAGACAAAACAAAGAAAATCAGTGACAGGAAAAGATAAGAGGAAAAAACAAAATGATACCCACCCCCTAAAAAAAATACAATTTCTCTCAATTCAGCTGTATTTCTGGAGCATTTTTAAAACAACAAAGTGCTGTACATGGAGCAAAAATAAATTGCACAACAGCAAACGACAAAAATCTGAATAATATAATGAAGACGATAAAAAGCACAAAAACAGTCAAACGAGACTCAAGTCTCATGCTGAGTCAAGAGCCAAAGAATAAAAATGACTTTTACGACAATATACCAACATGCACTAACAAGCAAGACATATCCACAGAATAAAATTGATGAATATCAGAAATTGGATTACCGTGAATGACTTGAAGTCAGGGTCATATCGTCCGGTCCTAAATTCATCTTTCACATCTCATTTCATCAGAACAATTTATGAGTATGTAGGAAACCCGCAAAACTAAATGTGGTGCAACAGTTCCTGCCTTTCAAACACACAATGCCCCCCCCCCACCCACAACCACCAAAAAGAGCCATTTGTTTGTTTTTTTACCTTTCACTTTGGGATTTGTGCATGTGTGTGTGCGTGTGTGTGTGTGTGTGTGTGTGTGTGTGTGTGTGTGTGTGTGTGTGTGTGTGCGCGTGCGTGTGTGTGTGTGTGTGTGTCTTTCAGACATGTTGATCACCCGGGAAATGGAAGCGATTATGGCGTTTAGGTAAAAGTTCCGTCCTGGCTGCTCACCAAAATACCACTAAAGCAACAATAAGTTGATCAAAGGAATAATGGATTTTGATGGAACTGGCCCCTGAGGCCACACCATGCAGACAGCTAGCTCCATTATGCAAATTAGCCTCGCTTATTCATTCCCCATACATAACTATATCTATATTTAGATAGATAGATAGATAGATAGATAATTTACTGTACTATATATAAAGATATGTACTGTAAATAGAATATAATTTGTATTACTATTTATAGTTGTGCTTAGCTTACTTTGACATTGTCATGTGGGTGAAAAAAAAAAACTATCCATTTCCAAACAAAATCGACCTCAGGCAGCATCCCAAAGTCACTTGTTTATTTTTTAGCGGTCAACTACATGAATGGATTCATTTCATGGTGTTCATGTACATCTATTTTTTTAAATGTTTTTTTTTTGTTCCTTTACAGGTGTGCTCACTGTCCAGCAAGAACAAAAACATTTCAACGGAGGCGTTTTGCACGTTTGAGTCGACATCGCTTGTTTTTTTTTTTCCATTTTTAACGATTTTGCTCAATCCAAATTCGATATGAATGAATTCCTCCTCGTTTTGACCCACTTGACACACTCACACAGGCGTGTTTTCAGCAGATACAGGCGCCACAAAAGCAGGATTACAATAAAGACCTTGAAAGTGAATTCGAGTATTTATCCCCATCCCCCCCCCCCCAACCCCCCCCGACACACACACACACACACACACACACACACACTTCCCACCCCTTTGGAGAAGCAGATCCATGCACGGGGTCGCCCCCAGCCTTCTTCCGCCAGCCCCTCTTCCTCCTCCTACCCCCCACCCCCCAATCCACGACGCTCCTCTCTCCGGACTCCGCAGCCGCCCTCCACGCGCTCATCTCGGCGCAGGACTGGAGCGTGAGGCGCCAAACTGGTTCTCATTGCGCGAGGGACAACTTCAACATGTTACACCAGCAAAAGTCAGCTCCGAAAAAAAAAAAAAAAAAAAAGAAGTCAGCCAAAAGTGGACACACACACACACACACACACACACAGTGTTGTTAAAGTGTGGATCGTAGCCAATTAAAAATAGCCAATTAAAAATCGTTACTCGATACGTGAGAAAAGCAAATAATTGTGTCTCCTGCAAAAGAAGAGACCCGCGGCAGTTTTTATGTACACTTGGTCTCGTGGCAATTTTGGGGGGAAATGGGATCGGTTTTAATTTTAAAGCAAAACTTTTGACACAAAAAAAAGGGAAGGTTTTTTCTCGGTAAATGTCAAGTTGGTCAACGGAAGGCCAAGTAGGATTTTGTGACATTCTGCTCACTTTGTTTGGCAGAAATTGTGAAAAGGGAGAAACGCCCATCGCAGGTTTTTCAATGACGGGGAATTCGGTGGGTCTTTTCCGGGTGCTTTGGCCCGTTCAAAACCGGTGCATTGAATGCAGGAAGAAAGTGCAAATAGCATCGACGGCAAGCTATTATCCTCTCTACTTTACCAAAGAAAAGGAACAATTTGGTCCTTTTTCCTTTGAGGACGTTTTTTCGGAACACGTCACAACTTCTACGGTGCGTCAACGTTGATTTCGAAATCCGAAATCAAACAGAAAACGGCGCTTTTTCTGACACCCACCCCCCCACACACACATACTTTTCTTTGTAAAATATTTGAATGCACGCGCAGCACAAATTTGGCTCAAGGAAAGAAGATGTTACACCATAAACGAAGTATTGTTGAACGCGATTGTATTTCAGTTTGCAACATGCTCAAACTAGACAGAAACTCGAGATATGAACGGGAATAAATCTTCAATTTACCTGCAAGGGGCCAATGTGGTTTGTTACCCCCCCCTCCAACCCCCCATCCCCAAACAAACACACACGCACTCAAAACGAACAAGAATACAAACGTGTCCATTTTGGATTGATTGCGAGTGTTTTCCCGGTGCGCGCGCACGCTCGCTCAGTCTCTCTTTCTCTCTCGCCAAACAAGCCAACGTGCACGCGGACGTGTCAGTCACACTGCAGCAAACCGAAAGCGTTTGTGTGCGACACTGTGACGTGGGATACCCGCGAGGTGGGAGGGGGCGTGGTACTATCCTGCGCTCTCGCGCGCTTGTATACGCCCGGGTGCGCGTGTGTTTGCGCGCGCGCGCGCGCGCGTGTGTGTGTGTGTGTGTGTGTGTGTGTGTTCGTGTGTGTGTGTGTGTGTGTGTGTGTGTGTGTGTGTGTCCGTCCGCGCGCGCGAGCGAGAGAGAGAGACACCGATGATGGATGCGCCAGTGGAGAGACGGACAGATGCTTGGGCGGATCTAACGGCGCGCACTGCTGCAGCGGCGCGCACACTCGCGGCGAGATCTGCGGGGAAAAGATCGTCCCAGGGCGGATACTCGCGGCTCCCGGTCCCGGCGACACGACCGCCTCGTCCGCGTGCGTTCCCTCGACAACGTGGTTCGATTCCAGCCGCACGTCTGGGGTGGAGGACAAAGAAGAAGCAAAAGGACTCACCCTCGCGCTCCATCGCGTTGACGGGATTTATCGACTTCCATCTTGAACTTTTCCTGGCAGCGAAAAGTGGGAATACTGAGGGAAGACAGAGAACCCCACCACCAACCACCACCACCCCCACCCCCTCCCCGGACAACTTTTTATTCCTCTTGTGGCTCATTTACCGCCCCCCCCCCAAAAAAAGAAGGGGAAAAAGAAGAGTTGCCATCAAAGAAAAGTGCCACCTCCTCTTTCTTCCTTCCTCCTTCCTTTCGAGCGGGGGACCCAATAAAGCGCGCGATACAGAAGAACTAAAAAGAGAGAGAGAGAGAGAGAGAGAGGCGCGTGCACGACCCCCTGTTTCTCACATAACCTCCCTCTTCATCCCGATCATCATTTGGATTTTTTTTGGGGGGGGCGGGGGTGTACATTTTGTGGCTCCGAACACCTGGAGGGGCGCGCGCGCGCTCCTCGTGGAGGAGGCTTCGTTCCAGTTCAAGTAAGTGCGCGTGCGCGTGATGTATGTTGTGATAAACGTTGCGGGGGGTGGGGGGG